ACAGCATCAGAATCACACTCCATTCATGCGAACCACTGCGGGTGTGTATGTCAAGTTAACAACACCCTGAAATCAGTCTGCAAAAAACGCAGTGCAATATGCAGAATCGGATCACATAAGTGTGAATACCCATGTGATCCGATTCTAGTCCGGACCAAAAAAAGGGTCCTGCACTTTTTTGGTGTGGATGCGGTGCGATTTGAGCCATATAAAATGTATGGCTCCAATCACATCGCACAAAATTCGCATGTGATTTGTACAGGAATGCGGTGTGGTTCCTGTGCTAATCACATGGGATATGTGAACCCAGGATTAAAGTGGAACTAAAGTCCCGCTGGTACTGAGAAGGAACAGGCGCGTTCTTTATCACAGAAGACACATGCAATGTCTCTTCTGCAATAAAAACCACTTACCTGCCTGCTCTCTCAGCAGTCTCTGACATGTAAACTGTGCTGCGCATTTGCATCTCAACTTACAGTGCCAGCCCAATCTGTGTGTGCCGAGATTACTGACTCCTTCACATACGCAGGAGTGATGTCATCCCATGCTAACCGATGAAGACAACCAAAGATCGCCACACAGAAGAGGAGCCTTGTGCTGGCAAGGGACAGGTACCATTGGAGGAAAGGTAAGTATTGATCCCTATTATTTCCGCTTCAAGGGTCAGTTTCACACCACAAAAATGCACTCTGAATGCATTCCAGATGCGTTTTTGCCCACAGTTCACACCACACTCCATTCCAGGGCATTTTTGATACATTTTGCACACTCCATTCCAGGGCCTTTTTGATACATTTTGCACACTCCATTCCAGGGCATTTTTGATATGTTTTGCAGTGTTTCGATACAGTCCTGTGCAGCATGTTCTACTTTTTTTCTTGCATTAGAACTGACTGCACTGGTATGAACTAGGGCCATTGGAATACATGAAAAACACTGTGCCTGCATCTTTGATGCAGAAAAAAAATTGCACTGGTTTGCATATGGTGTGAACTGGCCCTAGATGGTTTGTCTCAACTCCCTAACTGCTGCTTCTGCAGGGCAACTTGGGCTGTCAAAGAAATCTGAGTTACTGACTGGATTAACAGGTGGAAACAAAGGGGAAAAAAAAACACATCTAAGAATTGGTAAGCTCCAATATATTACATTTTTGTGTTTGGGTTTAACCAGTTCCCTACCTCGCTATAGCCGAAAGACAGCTACAGCGCGGTTGTCTAGTTCTGGGAGGACATACTCCCAGAACATGCCCCCTGCGCGCCCCTTTTACAGCGTGAGGAAAGTACTGGCGATAACCAGCAATTGTCAGAGAAGTGATCGGCACTGATGATCAGTGCCCAGCAGTGCCACCCACCTGTGCAAATTTCTCAAATTTTCTGCTTTTTTTGTTTTATAGCGCAAAAAATAAAAAACCCAGTGGCTATTAAATACCAGCAAATAAAGAAAGCTCTATTTGTATGAAAAAAATTCTAAAAATTTTATATGGGTACAGTGTTGCATGACCAAACAATTGTCATTCAAAGTGCAACAGCGCTGAAAGCTGAAAATAGGCCTGGGCAGGACAACCAATGAATCGGGCACCGGAAGGCAAGTGGTTAAATCAACTTTAACTTTCAAAACTGACCTGCGAACAAACGAAGCTAAATCATTATTTCTTTTCAACTCTCTATGAACTTCTAACATAATCTCTCCCTTGCTTATAGCCTCATTTCTCTCCCTTATAAGCACATCCAGTGTAGTGCCTGAAGCGCCTTCGTCAGCCATATTTGAATGGGGCAATTGAACACTCCTTACGCTTATAGCTAAAAAAAAAACCCATATTTTTCTTTTTTTATATATATATTGTAAATGTAATGTAGCTAGTTTGTTCTTCTCCCTCTGCCTTACAGCCGGCGTGCCCGGTTATCGTCTATTTGTTTTCCCACATCAAACATGGACGCTAAAGCTAGCCACAGCCCATTCTCTAGCGTTTTCTGTGACCTCCTCCTGGCCGTTTGCTGCGTCACTTCCCGTGTCGAGCCGGTGTGTGGAGTGGCGGCGTGTTCTGGTCCATTGTGTGTCTCATAGTTCCACCATGGTGAGTGGGGCTGGTTTATGTCATGAGGTGGTCTCTGTGTGTGTGAGCGGCTCGGATCTCCCCCGGTCACCGTGTGAGGGACGGCCATGAGGCTGTATAGTGACAGACAACACTTCCCTTCTATTACAGGGCTGCTGAGCCATGCAGCTTCCCAGGCCTGAGACTGCCATAAACGAACTGCTAGACAGGGCCAGCGTTTTACCACACTGTCACAAAGTAAACCTGTCATGAGGGAATCAGTGCCATTGCTGAGCTTGCCATCTCAAAGTACAAGTGTAGAGGCAGCCATGCTTTACCTCTGGCCTTTAGATGTCTCACAAAATCATAGCACCTCTGAAAAGTGATCCATATTTTGATTGCTTTTAAGCAGAGGCGTTATGAATATTGGCTGTTTAAACCCATTAAATGCCGCACTAATACCAGTATGCATGAATGGGTCGTGTTTGCTGGTGGTACTGCTTGCTGAAGGTAATGCAGAGAATAAATATTGTCACAAAGCATTGTGACGGCGGCACGTGAACGCCCCAGTCCTCTGCCTGTGCAGCTTAAAGGATAAGTTCATCTTTTAAAGTAAAATAATAAATATCCGTGTTTTTGCAGGGTAAAAAATGTGCATTTATTTTTTTCTTAGGAGCCTGCAGAGCATTGCACCCATGACCAGTGGATGGTGGGCTTCTGCAGACACAGCCTAGAGTTCTCTGTATGGTCATACAGTTCCTGAGCTGTAGGTGTTGTGAATGAACTGCAAGCACTAGTGCTGCACCGAAATGAATATTCTGGTGCCAAAACTGATACCGAAAATTCACAATGCTGAAATGTCTGCGTATGTGGGGAGGCTCAATTATTTTATTTATTTTTTACTTCAACCAGTTGCCTGGTGATCACTTTTACCCCCTTCCTGCCCAGACCAGCTTTCAGTGCTGTTGCACTTTGAATGACAATTGCACGGTCATGCAACACTGTACGCAAACAAAATTTAAAAATTTTTTTGACACAGAGCTTTCTTTTGGTGGTATTTAATTACCACTGAGTTTATTTTTTTTGCTAAACAAACTAAAAAAGGCTCAATTCTGAAAAGAAAATTAAGTTTTTTTTCTTAGGTTTTGTTATAAAATTTTGTAAAGGTGGCACTGATGGGCATTGACAGGCATCACTCGTGAGCACTAAAAGGCAGAGCTCATATATGGCACTGATAGTTGGCAATGAAAGGCAGCTTTGATGGGCACTGATATGTGGCATTGGTGTGCACTGATGGGCACTGACAGTCGGCACTGATGGGACTTCACTGATAATCAGGGCACGGAAGTTCCCTTCACTATAGCTCCAAGAAGGAGCTGTCATTTTCCTCGCCACTAAAGGAAACAAATGGGCGGGGTCACCCAGTGTAGCTCACTGTATACACTGCTCCACTCTTGCCTTTAAATGGCCATTATTAGACCCTTAGATTACTTTACTGACCTGCATACTACATCTAGGTTTGTCATTGAGAGTGTTAAAGTCTAAGGATGTGGTGGTGGGAGGAGGGGGGTGATTTGGAAAAAGAGCCTCTTTACCAGATTTCGTTTAGAATTTTAGGAACGTGGGGCACCATCAGTACACACTAATCCGTTTTGAATATAGAAATATGAACATACAGAAGCCACAGTGTTCACTATATTAGGGGTCAATTCACTAAAGGTTACTGCATGCAATATGAAGGTCATGTAACTCATTTTTCAGAAATATCACATGACATAAGTAATTTCATCAAAGTAAAATATCGAATGTGAGGTAAATAGCACACATTTGTTAAAATAGTGAGATAAATACAGCAAACAAAACATGAGATAAATCATTCAATTCATAAAAAAACACACATTTGTTATTTATCATCAGGTGTTTGCTGGTGGTATGTTAGAAAATGTACAAAATAACAATAAGAACTGATTCACACGTGTGGTGCAGATTGAAGCTCAGGTTTCACAGCTAATTGATACAGTAGTTGTTCACAGGTTCATGTCAGGTTTACATCGGGTTCAGGACAGGATTAGCTCAGGATCTTACCTTGTTCACACATAGGCAGTTTAGAAATGGTTCCCATAGAAGTCAATAGCCTGTGATCCGTACCTGAACTGGACCACACTGCTCAGAAATCGGACATCTCTTTTTAAAACCGCACTGAATCCACACTGCCAGTGCACCAGATATATGTGAGCAGGCACCAAGCAATGTTTTTTCACATGTCGTGCAGACTGGATTGGGTTCAAATCACATCCAATCCGCATATATGTGAACGGGCACTCAGAGGAACTCTGCACTGGCCAGAAAGTGAAAAGTATACAATGTATCAGTGTAAAAATGTTCTCCTCTGAGCTCAGGAATGAAAATAAATTGTCACATTTAATCAGAGGGAGATCATTTTGTGATTGAAATCACACTACAATGTTTTCATAGTGTCACTGTAGTGCTGTGTGCTTTCTGGTGCAATGTTAGCCTGCAAAAAAAAAAATTGTGAAAAAACACCACCAAAAATAACGCAAAATTTAAGTGATAAATATCTCAAAATATAAATATTTAACACATTCGGTAAATAACGCATGTTTTTTTTTTTTTTTAGTGAATTGACTACTTTTGAAATAAATACCACATGAGTTATTTTAACTCAAATATTCATGCGGTATTTATCTCTTGGTGAACTGACCCCTTAGCATCTTCCTTTTAGGGCCTCCAGAGGTTTAATTGAAGTGTCAAATCAGTAACTGTTAAGTTTTTTTTTTTTTTTTTATTCAGTTTTTGGACCACTTTTTGCATAAATTTGAAATCTATATGTTATTAGTGTAAGTTTTTGGTATACTTTATATTGAAATATGTGTTCTTTTATGTGTTTCTGAAAGTGAGGACTTGTTTTGCTAAATATTGTATTTCTTTTAATGCTTTGTAAATACAGGCTTCCCTCTCGTTAGCACCTGTAAACATTTTTAAAGCTGGAGCTGATGAAGAAAAGGCAGAAACAGCCCGTTTAGTAAGTATTTTCATGCACCACACAAACACCTTGTTGGGTTTTAATGAAAATGATCTTGTGTAGTGTTCCTTTTGGCCCATTTTAGATGACATTGCTGTATTTTTAAGTGGAATGTCATTGTATAGCATGTTGCCTTTGGTTGAAAAAATTGGGAATTATGCAAATTAGCAAAGTCCATCTTAAGGCCCTGACGGTTTTTCCACACTGGATAAACTCCAGTCACTGCTAGGGTACATAGAAACCATTTGTTTTCTATGTGCCTTGTTCACACTGCAAGGCATCTTAGAGGTGTAGTGAGCTGCAGTAAAATGCAGACATTTTTACTGTAGCATGAATGCATTGCAGGTCACCCCACAGAGGTGGGAAGACATGAATGACGCTTCACTTTATGACACTTCAAATAAAGTTAAGGAAAAAAGGAATCAGTGCGATGCATGCCCCCTTACCACAGCTCGCTGCAGGGGAAAGCTGGAGCATTTAGTGTGTGGGCAGCGAAAAGCTCTTAAAATATAAAGGATATAAAACGAATTTCATACCAGGGACCCATCTGCCAGTGTTTCTGAGGTTACATTAGCTAGGGTCACACCGCAGAAGAAACCATTGGTTTAAAGTGTGGGTCCCTAGAGGCTCCCTAAATGTGGAGCTGCTACCCTATTTAGTCGCCTCGGACATGAATCACAGGGTTCCTCAGTACAATGCAGAAAAATGCAATAAAAGGTGTTGCCACGGATAGGTGAGAGAGGCCACAGCAGACTGAAAGTGCAATGTTCTCTCAACGCACCAATCCAGAGTGGCCAAACTGTCAGAACAACACCAAGTATGGTGTTGATTGTCAGCGCTGCCTTACAGAAAGGAGGCAGCCAGAGCTCCCACCTAAAGAACAATACTTGCAGCCACACACAGCCAGTCTGAGGGGAAAAGTCTTCCCTTTTGGTGTAAAAGTGACATGAAGTCTGCACCATTAGTACCACACCAATTACCACAGCACAGGGTGGCAGAGGGTTATAGAGGTACGTACCCATAACTCTCTTATATCTTTCCTGGGGAGAAAAGGAGGGTGTACATACACATGCTGAAGATACAGGGGAGTACATGCCCAGTGACAGGCAGACTCCTGTAATTCTGTATTGTGAACTGACCTAATTGGAAACTACATTTTGCCTTGTCTCTGCATTGTATCTGGTGGGAATAAGACCTTAAGCATGGAAATGCTTAAACTAGAAGTTGGCCTTGTAGGTCACAGGAGTGCACTTAGCTCTGCATTCTTGTGACCTGTATTCAGCAGATTAGTGGGCTAAAGCCTCTCAGCATGCTGCTAAGAGCTGGAGCCGACTGCTCCCACCCCCTCCACTGCCCAGTGTTCCAGTGAGAGCTAAAGGAGCAGAGCAGAGAGCGGTGACTGAAAGTCACCGGCTCTCTGCTCATTGAAGACCAAACGGGCTGCATCTCAGCTAGGTGAGCATATATGGTTTTTTTTTTTTTTCATTCCTAAACTTCTCTTTTAAGAAAAAAAAATGGGATTTGATAATTTGTTGCCCCTTTTCAATGTGTGGATGAAAAGTTAAAGGAGGACACACAACACCACTGGATAGGGTAAACTTCCTTTATTAGGATTTCCATGTAAATTAAGTTATATAACACACACTATTTTCTCTTTTTTTTTTTGTTAATGCAAACAAAAACATTGTGTCCTTTTACCTGATACACTGTTACATGTCTGTAACCCATACATATTTTGTTACTAAACAGCGTGTATCAATGTACCTAAACTTTACAAAAAAAAGAAAAAAGAGAGAACACATGTACTTGGATGGTTACATGTTCTGTATTCAAAAGTAGTTAATTTTTCTTAATTTGTATGATTTTTTTTTCCTCTTTGGTTGTTAAATGGTGAAGTTAACTGAATGTTTTGTATTTTTAGTCATCTTTTGTTGGAGCTATTGCTATTGGAGACTTGGTGAAGAGTACACTGGGACCAAAAGGCATGGTAAGTGTGGAGGTAAAACATTCTAGGATACCTGCTGTTACTGTTGCCCAGCTGTGGGTTTAGTAGTACCCTAAGAAATATGGCTTTACACTTTAGGGCACCTAACAATCTTTCGTTGCCAGGTAGCAGTGACTCATTTTCCATTTTTGCTAATGTGCAGCAGAATTGGACTGTGAGGGGCAACAAAGCAAGTTCTCTTAGACGCATGTGAACCAAATATTAAGCAGAAAGCAGACGCTATGAACAGGAATAAAATGTATGAGCATGTTGTTATACCAAGCTAAATCTAAATAATGTTTAACTGCATCTTTTGTGCAGTTACTAACCCTCCAGCCCGGGCTCTTATTTTTATATTTCTTTATCTCCTTTAACCTGGGAAAATATTGTGCCCATGCCCTAAGTGAATTTCAATGGCCCTGTTGGCACCACTCGACCCAACATCCTTCGATTATAAAAAATAAAGGAGCCAGGTGGAGTTGACCAAACAGTCCCTGCATCCAATCAGATGCAGTCACTGTTTTGGTATTCTGACAGTTGGTGGCACTGGCTATCCAAATACAGTCTATGCAGGTGCAGTCAGACAATCATTGCTTGGATGGAGGCATCTGTTAGATTTCTTTTGTTCAGAGCAGACCGAGCAAAGGAAATCTTTCGGTAGGTGACCAGCTTAGGTTCTACTTTTCTGTTTAAAGTAATAGTAAAGCTTCTCCTCCTCCCCCTTCTTGTCTTCTATGCATGAAGGTGGTAAAAAGCTCTCGATCCAGCGATGTGCACTAGAGTCTCGGCTATCCCGGGACTCACTCTCCTGGCTGAGACATCAGCGTGAGCCATTTGCTGCCGCTGTTATCAGTCACAGCCAGTGAGCCAATGACAAGAGAGGGGGTGGAGCTGAGCCGTGGCTTCGTGTGTGAAAGGACACACAGAGCAGTGGCTGGGGAGTGTGCATGCTTGGGTGCCCCCATAGCAAGCTGCTTGCTGTGGGAGCACCCAACAGGAGGAAGGGGCCCCGAGAAGAGGAGGATATGGGCTGCTGTGTACAAAACCAGTGCATACAGCAGGTAAGTATAAAATGTTTGTTTTTCTGTTTTTTTTTTTTGGATAGGATAATTATGTCTGATATACTTCTTTTGGATGATGCTTTTTCATTATTTTGTCTAACATTACTCATTTCTATAAATGATACAATATTGTTTTCATGTGCTGATCATTGTTGTGGTCATTCTAGGATAAGATTCTTCTCAGCAGTGGTAGAGACAGCAGTGTTACTGTAACCAATGATGGGGCAACCATTCTGAAGGCTATTGGAATTGACAATCCTGCAGCCCAGGTGTTAGTTGGTAAGATGTCATTTATTGGTTTTATAGAAAATTCCTACTGAAATGGTCTTCCTTGACTCACTTTTACTCTGTTTCTATTTTAGACATGTCTAAAGTACAGGATGATGAAGTAGGTGATGGAACAACATCAGTGACAGTATTGGCTGCTGAGCTTCTTAGAGTAAGTGGATGCTAAGTTTGTTTTGCATACTTTTAGCCCATATGGCATGTTTTATAACACCTTTGTGCTCTACCATAATTCTAGGGATGAAATCAATAACTGTGAGTGACAAACTCACTTGTGAATATGCTTTTAAATGATACCAATTTAATGGTTACAGTGAAGCTCCATGTTTGTTTAAAGTTGATCTCTTGAGTAAAAAAAAGTTTTCTTTTTCTGTGGGGCTGTGTCTGCACAGCAGTGATTAATTGCTTTTTTTTTTGTCTAGGTGAGAGATGAAGGGAGATATGCTTACCTGATCCTCCCCACACAAGACAGGTCCCTGCAGCTCCTGCTGTGTTTTTTCCTTAGTAATGGCTTGTCTTAGGAAATGCAGGGCAAGGAGATATTCTTGAAGAGATTCCAGTTTATTTTTGGTGATCATAGTGGTTAAATGGTTAGCACTTCTGCCTGGCAGTACTAGGGTCATTGGTTCGAATCCCAGCCACAGCACCACCTGCCTTGAGTTTGCATGTTCTCACTGTGTCTGCGTTTCCTCCGGGTACTCTGGTTTCCTCTCACATTCCATAGACATGCTGACAGGTTGTTTGGCTCCTGTCTAAGTTGGCCCTGGTGTATGTATGTATGCATGAATGTAAGTTGGGGACCTTAGATTTTACACCCCTTGAGGGTTGGGGGCTGATGTAAATGTATAATATATAAGTAAGAGCACTGCATAAATTGACGGCGCTATATAAGTACCTATAATAAATAAAATAAATCCGATTGTAGGTGGAGTAGAAAGAAGTTTGGCTTAATGCAGCACAGAAAAAAAATGGTGGAAAAAAGAATGTTTTGGTAATCTATGTGATACCCAAAAAGTGGAATGACACATAAAAATGTAGGAGATAAAAAAAAAACATTTTTTGAGGTAAATTGAAAATAAAACAAAATTACACTTCCAAAAAAGTGTATCTATAAATACTGCACTGACCGCTTCACTATCTGGCTTTCTGTAGTCATGGCGCGCCATCAGTATGTATTCATTTCACATGACAGAAAAAAAAAATATGTACGTCGTATTGTAGCTAATGCTAATCATAACAGGACAACTTTGCTAACCATGAAATGTTGATATACTATTTACACCCCCCCACCAGTTCTACTGATGTTTTACTGGGAAGATCTTGTCCAAAATATTTAGGAAACTTATGGACTGTATTTCTGTCCTTCATTAGTTTTCAGCTTCTGATGCAGAATGCAACCATTTTGTAAATGGTCATAGACTTTCTTGTGTTAGTTGTACAAGCTTTCTCATACATTGCAGGTGGTAAAAATAAGGCTTCCAGCTAAGAATTCTTTTTTTATTTTCAGGAAGCTGAAGTGTTGATTGCCAAGAAGATTCATCCTCAGACTATAATATCTGGATGGAGACAAGCTACACAGGTTGCCAGAGAAGCCCTTCTGAAAGCAACAATAGATCATGGGTTAGTTTGCATTTGCTAAAAACCATATACACTACTGTGCAAAAGTTTTAGGCAGGTGTGAAAAAATGCTGTAAATTAAGAATGATTTCAGAAATATAAGTGTTTAATAGTTTTGTTACTTGATGAAAAAAAAATAAGTGGAAAGTAAATGAACAGAAGAGAAATCCAAATCAAATCATTATTTGGTGTGATTACCTTTTTGCCTTCAAAGCAGCATCAATTTTTCTAGGTATACTTGCACACAGTTTTTGAAGGAACTCGGCAGGTAGGTTGTTCTGAACATCTTGGAGAACTAACCACAGATCTGTGGATGTAGGCTGCCTCAAATCCATCTGTCACTTTATATAATCCCAGACAGACTCAACGATGTTGAGATCAGGGCTCTGTGGAGGCAAACCATCACTTCCAGAATTCCTTGTTCTTCTTTACGCTGAAGATAGTTCTTAAAGTGTTTCTTTGCCCTGTTTGAAAAAAAATTACTTCAGCAGTTACATATACTGTAGCTGCTGACTATTAAAAAAAGGCACTCACCTGTCCAGGGGTCCAGCTCCATCTTTACCCGAACTGATTCTTCGCTGGTCTTTGAGTTCCAGGCACCAGCATGTTTACTCTGGACAGCCGACTGTGGTTCCTTGCCAACTCACAGATGGATGCGCATGCATGAGCCATGCTGCACTTTGTGAATGGACCTGCAGCCTTCTGGGACCTGTGACTTGTCTTAGAAGGATTCGGGGGGGGGGGGGGGAGTAGAACTTCTGGTGGATTGGCGATTCGACTGAGTACCCCCCCCCCCCCCCCAAAAAAAAAAAAACAGTGCCAAAAATAGAATGGGGGGTCAAAAAGCAGAACTTCCCCTTTAGGGTGAAGCTCCACTTTAATGATGTTGGCTGTATGTTTTGGGTCGCTGTCCTGCTGAAGAATAATTTGGGCCAAACACACACCTCCCTGATAGTATGGCATGATGAATACATATCTGTCTGTATTTCTCAGCATTGAGGACACCATTTATCCTAACCAAATCTCCAAGTCCATTTGTAGAAGTGCAGTCTCAAACTTGCAAGGAACCTCCACAATGCTTCACTGTTGCCTGCAGACACTCATTATTGTACCGCTCTCCAGCCAAAAACTGCCTCCTGCTACAGCCAAATATTTCAAATTTTGACTCAACAGTCCTGAGCACCTGCTGCCATTTTACTGCATCCCAGTTCCCATGCATAGTTGAGTCAGTTAGCCTTGTTTCCATGTTGGAAATACCACTTCTCTCCAGACTTCTCCGGACAGTAGATGGTTATACTTGGGTCCCACTGGTTTCCATGAGTTCTATGCTGATGGCACTGTTGAACATCTTCCAACATCCAAGGGAAGTAAGCATGATGTGTCTTTGATTTTCTGCATTAAGTTTCCTTGGCCAACCACTGCATCTATGGACCTCAACATTCCCTGTTTTTGTGCTTCAAAAAAGCTTGAACAGCACATCTTGAAACCCCAGTCTGCTTTGATATATTTGCCTGGGAGAGACCTTGCTGATGCAGTATAACTACGTTGTGTCTTGTTGCTGTGCTCAGTTTTGCTATGATGGATGACCTGTGATATGAAACGGTCTTCCGCAACCTCGCCTTAATAGCAAAGTTTGACTGTTCCTCACCCAGTTTGTCTTCGGTCACACCGAATCCGACTTTGAAATTGAAGTTGCATGATTTCAAAGTTGAAAGTCAGTGCGACCTGCAAAACATCTGTGCAACTTCATGCACAGATGTCTTTGCAAGTTTGGGTGTGACTTGCATAAAGTAGTGCATGTACTATCAAAATCGGTGCAACTCCAACATGACCGCTTCATTTCCAGAGAATAGGGTGCGATTTGAAACTATCAAATCGCATGACAAGTCGCACCAGTATGACTGGGGCCTTAAACTTCCTACCCAGCTGTTTCTGTTTTGAGTTCATGACTGTCTTTTAACCTACATACGAAATTGATGATCATTAGCAACTGCTTGGTATAATTGGTTAATCGTACAGCTGATTCTAATCCTGCAAAATCCCTGACTTTGGCTTCAAACCAGCATCTGTTCTTACACTTGCACAAAGGGTAGTTACACCAAATACTAATTTGATTTAGATTCTTCTGTTTAGCTCACTTTGCATTTTGTAAAATGAAATAAATAAAATCTATATTTTTTTTAAAGCATTCTTACTTTACTGCATTTCCTCACACCTGCCTAAAATGTTTGCACAGTACTGTGTATTTCAATATTTGTATGTGGATAGTGATAGGATAAGGTGCCTGTATGTTGATAGGATAAGGTGCCTGTATGTCTTTGAAAGCAAAAAAATATCACTGCTGTCCAACACAAGGTACTGTCCTTGCACTTTTCAGTGCCATTAGTACCTTTCTTCTTTTTAACCAAGAATGACACTGATGTGACATTTAGTAAAAACTGAACTGAAGAATTTGTTGCATTCCAGCAGACTCACTGTATGAGAAGGCAGCTGATGGGTGGCTTCATGACAATCCTTTTGTGGCGCAAATGGAGATGTTTCCCTTTTTTTTTTCTAATTAGTAGTTTTTGGCTTTCAATATACTTTACTTTTTGCAGTATCCTTCTCCACAAATATCTAGTTTCTAATAGGTCATTCTTGTTTGGCTGTCTTTCATAGTAATGATGAAGAGAAGTTTCGGGCCGATCTTTTAAACATTGCCAGGACAACCCTGTCTTCTAAGCTGCTCACTCACCACAAGGACCACTTTGCAAAACTGGCTGTGGAAGCTGTTTTGAGACTAAAAGGCTCTGGAAATTTGGAAGCAATTCATGTCATTAAGAAGCTGGGAGGAAGTTTAACCGAGTCTTACCTGGATGAAGGTATATTTATGAATGTGCAATGTAATCAAAATGATTGACTCTGCAAATAGCATAGCTATTACTTCCCTTTCAATTTCAGTCAGATTTGATAAAACTGACTTGATCAGCCAGAGAGAAATATCATCAATTGTTTTGCATTAATTGGCAGCACTGAGATACTTTTGTTCATGAATCCGAATGTGTTTTGATTGATCAGATTATGAGATTACATGGTGGAAATAGATGCGATCTATAACTTGGGGTTGTAAGTTTAGATCATTTCTTAAAGTAGGATTTTAGGCAATTCTTCTTCATTTAGTCATTTTGGATAGAGCAAGGAATGGTTATAACCCCTGTCAGATTTTTTTTCGCCATCTGTTTTCCATTACGGATATTTCACGTACTGTCCCATAGCCAAACAGAAAGTGAGGAAATCCCTGCAATTTAGGGGCAATTCTTTGGGGACCCCCAGGTCACTAGAGCTAGTGTTCCCATTGGAAAATTTCCGCTTTTTATTACTTTTCTGGGGACAACCCAATATTTTGAGATTTTTTTTTTTACTTTCACTTTGAATGGTAAACAGTACGAATAGAGAGGTGAATCTCTTTTATAAGGGGCACACACCGCAATCTAATCTCTCTCTGGTCTATCCAAAACAAAAACAAAGTTTTGCCTTCAGCTATACTTTAACTATTGATTGAAATCCACTTTCCTGTGTGTGGCATATAAATCAAATGGGTTTTCAATTATAGACTGATTTATTCCTGACAAAAGAGCGAGCTCAAAATAGAAATCAATTATTTATAATTATTTATCGAAGCGTGTATTGCCACCATTAGGGTGGGTTTAGTTAAAATCCATTTAATGCTCGGGGCAATTTTGAAATTTTTGACGTACATATTAAAGTCAGCAATGTTTGCTAGAAAATTACTTGGAACCCTCAATTATATATTCTCTAAAAAGCAAAGACCCTGGAGAATAAAATGGTGGTTGTTGCAATTTGTATGTTGCAAGATATTCACACAGCCATTTATCAAACACAAATTTTAAGAAAAAAATAGCCTTAAATTAATTTTAGAATTTTAGCACAATACCCATTTTTTTTGGTAAAATAGAAAAAAAATTATGTTGAGTAAATAGATACTAAAAGATTTAAACTTGCATACTCGTGAAATAGCAACAAACTAGTAACCTAAATTAGCGCTTAGTTAAAGCAGCACATAATACATACATTACACATTTAACCCCTTGATCATTATAATGTTAATACCTTCCCAGCCAGTGTCATTAGTACAGTGACAGTGTATATTATCACTGATCACTATTAGTGTCACTGGTGATGTCAATGGCAGTTAGTTCCCCTCCCATCATCAGATTGCCCGCCACACTATCGCAGTCCCTTTTTAAGTCGCTGATCATCGCCATTAGTATTAGAAAAAAAAAATCCTGTATATATGCCATAGTTTTGTAGAGAGTATAACTTTCACACAAACCAATTAATACACACTTGGGATTTTTTTTTTTTATCAAAGACATGTAGCAGAATACATTTTGGCCAACATTTATGAAGAAATTAGATTTTTTTTTTTAAATTGGATAGGTTTTATAGCAGAAATTAAAAAATGTTTTCGTTTATATCACAAAAACTAAAAATTCCAGTGGTGATCAAATACCATGAAAAGAAAGCTCTAAATGATATAAATTTTGTTTGGGTACAGCATTGCATGACTGCACAATTACCAGTAAAAATAGCTCAGTGCCATATAGCAAAAAATGGCCTAATCATTAAGGGGGTAAAATTTTCCAGAGCTTACGTGGTTACATTTACCCAGTTACTTCAAAATCAAGGTAAAATCTAACTGTGCTAAATAAAAATCTTTCTAGTGGTGTCTAGCAGTGTCCAAAAATGTCAATGTGTTGAAGATCTCTGGCTGCCCTAGGTTTGTTGAAATCCCGTTACACCACCGCATGCTGCGGTTCCTTATGCCAACCCCTACATCGCTGCTGAACATGCAGCAGGGAACTAGGTATTCAACAGTAAAAAAAACAGATGGCAACCACCCCAACCTATAACTGGTCTATGCAGTACAGATAAAGACTCCCTGCTGGGCACTGGTGTCCTTAATTGTGAATAAAGTGGCCTAAAGACATTTGGACCAATGTCACAAGCAGCTCTGTGCAAGAAGAGCGCTATGCATAAAGGCCACAAGATGGTGCTAGAGTAGACCAACTAGATTATCTGAGTGCAGTCAAAATATTGCCAAAAGGACAAATTGTAATCCAATGAAGATAAAAGGTTAATCATTCATGATAATAAAAGAAATGTAACAGCAGTCAATTCTTTAAACGGCTTAATATAATCACAGAGGGTTGTTCAATTTGACTTCTGAACCGTGCTGGTGGCAGAGGTAAAATAACATACCGATTCGCTGTATGGTTATTGGGGAAGCCAAAGCTGACAGCATGGACATGGTAAAGCTGTGATGCTGCTATGTAAATGCTGCAAAGTAGCGATCTGCTGCAAAGTAGTGATCTGCTCCAAATGACAGGTGATGCGGATGCCAGAGGTAGATCATAAAAGCAGCCTGCTTCTGAAGTGGTGTTGGTGAAGACCGGGCACCGGAAGTGACGTCTAGATGCACCTCAGACGAGCCAGAACCAGAGCCACAATGGAGCAAGGCTTTGTTTACAGAGCCAGATGGGGACATAGCGGTTGCCATGATGATGCATTTTGCATGGTAGTGCTTTGTCAAAGTCAATAGATAACTGGAGAGGACTAGAATTTTAAACGGCTATCCCTGACAGGGGGCCTGGCACAGAGAAACTGCGGATTCCTAAAGGCACATACAAGCTTATTGTTATCTCTGCCACAACAACATAGTCCTTTAGTCAATTTAAATGCGAAAATACATGAATATAAATAGAATTAAATATGTAAACAGAATACATAGACCTATACTGTGTGTGATTTTTTTTTGGTTTTGGTCATTGGTGTTTGTTGATGTGACAGAAGCAGCCAGATGAATTCTGCAGTGTTTACAGATATACTGTCAGCCCAGATTCAGCCAAATGCAGCAAAGTTGATTGGACAGCGCTTCACTGTACAGATGGACAATGATCCAAAACACACTGCAAAAAGCAACCCAGGAGCTTTTGAAGGAAAAGAAGTGGAATATTCTGCAATGGCAGAGTCAATCACCTGATCTCAACCCAATTGGGCATGCATTTCACTTGCTAAAAGCAAAACTAAAAAGGCAGAAATACTCACAAACAAAGAAGAACTGAAGACAGCTGCAGTTATAGCCTGGCAAAGCATCAGAAAGGAGGAAACCCAATCTTTGGTAATGTCCATGGGTTCCAGACTTCAGGCAGTCATTGCCAGTAAAGGATTCTCAACAAAATATTAAAATTAACATTTTATTTATGATTATATTCAATTGTCCAATTGCTTTTGGTCCTTTGAAAAAGGGGGGGTGGCTACTGTTAAGAGCTATAATTCCTAAACCCTTCCTCCAATTTGGATGTACATACCCTCAAATTAAACCTGAGAGTGTGCACTGTAAACCCATATCCATTATATAACTTTAGCTTGAACATGGTTTGGTAAATACCTGAAAAAACTAAATTGTGCCTGTGTCCAAATGTATATGAACCTAACTGTATGTTCTGCCTCCAACTCTCCACTCTGACTAAGGTAGGAGAGTGAAGGGGGGGCAGAGGACACTTCTCCTGAGTGTGCTGCATGTATGTGGAATGATGTAAAAGGGGGCAGTGCTCTGGGGGAAGGGGGGGGGGGGGTAAAATGAGAAGGGCAGTGTTGGGGGGGGGGGGGTGTGATGTAAAAGGGGGGGGGTATTGCTGGGGGGGGGGGGGAGTGATGTAAAGGAAGGGGGACAGTGCTGTAAAGGAGGGGCATTGCTGTGGGGGGGGGGTGATGTAAAGGAAAGAGGGCAGTGCTGTGGGGGAGGGTGATGTAAAGGAAGGGGGGGCAGTGCTGTGGGGGAGGATGATGTAAAGGAAAGGGGGCAGTGCTGTGGGGGGAGGATGATGTAAAGGAAAGGGGGCAGTGTGTGGGGGAGGATGATGTGTGGGGGAGGATGATGTAAAGGAAAGGGGGCAGTGCTGTGGGGGAGGATGATGTAAAGGAAAGGGGGCAGTGCTGTGAGGGAGGGTAACGTAAGAGGAGGGGGGCGGTGCTGGGGGGAGGGGAATTTATGTAACAACACTGATATAAGGGATTGTGATATAGGAGGGAAGGGCTGAAAGAAATGGGGTTCGTACCTTACTGGTCGGACCTCCTATAAATTTTAATTCAACACTCCTGCTATAAATATTTCTTAGCTTCAAAGATGATTGGTAGATTTATATACAGGCCATGCATGGATTATTTGTTTTTTTTTGTGACATTTTTGCTATTAATTATTTTGCTTAGTTCAAACTGCTGATTTCTCTCTTAGGTTTCTTGTTGGACAAAAAGATTGGCGTGAACCAACCAAAACACATTGAGAATGCCAAAATACTTATTGCTAATACAGGAATGGATACTGACAAGATTAAGGTTAGTGATTTTTGTATGCTTTAACTAATGTATTGTGTTCCTTTTTTTTGATTCCTATGAATTACTCATGAAATGAATCCTTTTAACTAGGTGTTTGGCTCAAGAGTGCGTGTAGACTCAACCGCTAAAGTGGCAGAGATTGAGCTAGCAGAGAAAGAGAAGATGAAAGAAAAGGTGGATCGAATTCTGAAGCATGGAATCAACTGTTTTATCAACAGGTAATGATAGCTCCATTTGTTGGTATGAACACTTCAGTCTGATGTTTTTTCAGATAGTGTGTTATTTAAGTATGGAACCGATTTTACTGTGGCGAATTCATAGCCTCATCAGATCCTTACTGTTTTATTTTGTTCTAGATAATAAAATGAGGACCTGTCTGTTCTATATAATATAATTGAGACTCTATTATATACTGATTGTAGTGTAATTAACCTTTTCAGAAGGAGCTTGCCACCTTCTGGGCAGGTATAGGTGTTGATGGCCATTTCACATCTCTAAGTTTATCCCTATGGGAGAGCCTGTTTTCTGGAAACTACACCAAAAATGTAGCATGCAAGATTTATATTAATCCGCCACGCTAACACACAGAGGTGTGAATTGTCCTGCTATTAGTGACTGAACAGCTAGCTTAGCCACTGAGCTTTTTTACCTTGCTTCTAAAAACCATCCTATATTACAGTACCGTAGAATTATTAGAAGCTTCTTGATTACATGATAGTGAATATCCCACTTAAAGATGAGGGGAGAGGATGTACAGGCAATACCCACAGGTGTGTTTGACCATAACTTTGCCCTCTTTTCTGACCTTCAGTGCTGATTCACACATGTGCGATTGAAGCTCAGGTTGCACAGCCAATTGATACAGTAGTTCAGCTGTTCAGGACAGGTTTAAATCAGGTTCGGGTCAGGATTTTATCCTGTTCACAACTGATGATGTGTGGTATAAGACTGGTTCCCATAGAGGTCGATAGCCTGTAACCTGCACCTGAACTGAACTGGACTGCACTGCTTAGATATCGGAGAGGACTCTTTCAATCCGCACTGCCAGTGCACCAGACATATGTGAGCAGGCACCGTAGGAAGCAATATTATTTCACATGTCATGCAGACTGGATGCGATTTAAACCGCGTCCAATCCACTTATATGTGAACCGGCAGTTAGTGTTGCTGGACAGGTTCATGTCAGCCTTCTCAGTGAATTTTTGATAAAGTAAATCGGCTTGAAGTAAATATGTTTAACTGTGTGTGTTCATGTTTTAAAAACTTTTTCTTTTCTATTGTTTGTAAATGCATATGTGCTTGGGTCCCAAAGCAAGTCTATAATTTGACCATTTCTTTCTTTTTAATTTTGGATTCCCTCTGTGTATTTACTACCTTATTTCAACTTTTGTTTCAAGAGAGGCAGTATTTGCTGTGGCTAAACTACAATTCTCTACATTTACTGCAGTAGAAAAAAAATGTAGTACAGCAAACTAATAAAAATGTGAAAGGAGTATATAGTTAAGTCAAATAATGTTTAGTTAAACACTGCAATAACAACTCAAAATGTGTGCTCACTAGACATTTGCTGTACTTTTTGCATTTAATGTAAACATTTGCTTTGTTATTTTCTGATCACAGGCAACTAATATACAACTACCCTGAACAGTTGTTTGCATCAGCTGGTGTTATGGCTATAGAACATGCAGATTTTGTGGGTGTGGAGCGTCTTGCACTTGTGACAGGTAAAATGACTTTAAGATAGGGACCCACTTTGCACTTGGGATTTCAGAAGTGAGTGCATTATGAGAAGAGAATGAGTTATGTTATTGTAAATCCAATATCAAACAGTACTACATAACCACCACAATACACTTTGCAGATATTTGTATTCAAATGCTTTTCTCTGCACCCAAGGAGTTACTTCCTAAGTGCACACTCTGTGTGGCTTCTACATCAGCTCTGCCTAGACTTACACCAGATAACAGCACTAGTGAGTCAGAGCTGAAATGAGGCCACAGTTAAAGCATGCACTATTTCATTGGAATATACAAACATTTTTATATACTGCATATGATATTTCAGCTGTTGTTTCCCTATTTATTTATGAATAATCCTTTTAACTTGGGCTGGCCATATATGGATTGAAATTCAGCTGGTTCAGTGGGGACCAGCTGAATTTCGATCCATATAAGGGCATATGCATGGATGGATCGATCGATTTGTGTACAAACCAGCCTGTTAGAAAATTGTCTGTCTGACAGTGCTATAGGCTATAGCTGGAGTTGATGAGTATATTCTGATGGTAGAGAATTCTCCCCACCATCAAATTACAAAGACTCAGCAGGAGGTATTCCTCCATCCACATTAGGTCATTTTCTTTCATTCAACCAGCGGTTTGATTAAATGAAAATGACTTGTGTATGACCAGCCTTATACATGTCAAACTGTCCAGGACGTTTGAAAACTAATAGTTTTAAAATTTCCTGTAGTAGGACAGTGTGCTTTGTCTATGCTAAACTGTAAACAGTCTGCTTTCCTTTTTCTATCTGTTGCATCTTTTGTTTCAGGTGGAGAGATTGCTTCCACTTTTGATCATCCTGAGCTTGTAAAACTTGGAAGCTGTAAACTTATTGAAGAAGTCATGATTGGCGAGGATAAGCTCATCCATTTCTCAGGGGTTGCAATGGGTATGTATATGTTTCTAAATGTGACTTTTTTCCTGTAAAACTTTTTGCAGTACCTGTTTTCATATGCCTTCTCATACTGCATCTGCAAATGGGCTCATTCCGCAAAAGTGAAGTAGAAGGTGCACTTTCCATAAGTTAATGAAAGAGTACTAAATATGCAATAATTTACTAAATCTGAATTTCTAATGGAAATGTTCTGCTCTCTTGACATTTCAGGGGAAGCTTGTACCATTGTTCTTCGTGGAGCAACACAGCAGATTTTGGATGAAGCAGAGAGATCCTTACATGATGCTCTCTGTGTATTGGCCCAGACTGTTAAGGATACAAGAACAGTTTATGGAGGAGGTATTTCAATTAGGTTTATTAATTCCCAAATTGCTTATGCAGTCATGCTCATTACTATGTAAGCATGCTGTTTGTGATTTGTTTTTTTTTTTCTTTTTTTTTTTAGGATGTTCTGAAATGTTGATGGCCCATGCAGTAACAGAATTGGCCAACAGAACCCCTGGCAAAGAGTCTGTGGCTATGGAGTCTTTTGCCAAAGCTCTCCGAATGGTAAGCTCTAGAATTTGTGTAGTAAAGTATATTGCTTGTAGTTATTTTTGTACAAGACAAAAATTGAATGTGTTTATCTCACTATAGTTTTTTTTTTCATTTTTCTATAGCTTCCAACTATCATAGCAGATAATGCTGGCTATGACAGTGCTGACCTGGTGTCTCAGCTCAGAGCAGCTCACAGTGAAGGAAAGTTGACATATGGACTCGGTAGGCACAGACCTCTGAAAAAAGATTTATTTTGAAGAGAATCAGTGCCAAGAGAAATACAGGGCTTTCATTGCAGACATCTGATTCTATTCATCTGAACAATTAATCAGATAAGGCATTAAGACTTCATTGACTGAATGCACAATCCAGGCCATGCATGAATGCATGATCTAGTAAGGACTAAAGTCAAATGATCAGACATGACTAGTCAGATACTAGCATATTCAGGACAGTAATGGCAGCCTTTGCATTTCTCAAGGCACAAGTGCCGTTTAAGTTTCCTTTGAAGGGGAAAGTATAACCAGCCACATGACCTGTGCTTAAAAAGAAAGAGAGAATAATTCTTTATAACATTTCTTTTTAGTAATCTAGGTTAATTAGTGCTTGATTGCTTATTCCCAATTTATTTGGATTACAGATTATTTTTAGCACAAATTGATTTTTTCTAATATGAGTGATATTATTGGCTTGTTTGGATTATTTTCATAACATTGCTATTTTATTGATTTAGGAGTTGGGGTCACTCTAAGGGTTTGGGTTAAAGAAAGTGTTCTGGTTTAAAGTGGTTGTAAACCATTACATATAACCACTGAAGTGACTAGTCTCAGGTGATACACCGAGATGACACGCAGTATTCTTTTCTCTTCAGCTGTTCATAGTACAGAATGTATAAAGCTTGTCTGAGCTTTTAGAAAACATGGGTAGAGAGCTGAAGTTACACACTGCAGAGCTCAGTGAGGAGATATCTGAGAGTTGATTGGAGGGAAGAAACACCTTTCACCTTCACACAGGAACAGAGCTGAGGCTGTCAATCACAGCCTGTGTGCTGGAGCTCCCTCCCATAACTTTTTATTTTTTCTCTTGGTGTCAGAAAAACTTGTCGGAAGTGACTCATACTGATAGCAGAGGAACAAAGCAGCAGACAGAAATGGCACATAATGTTCTGGATTTAGTACACATTATAGAGGGATATGTTTAGTTCATAATTCATGTATGAAGTTTACAACCACTTTAAAAATTGTTTCCTATAGTTCCTGTTCACATACGGTATGTCTGGTGCACTGGCAGTGCGGATTCAAGCAATATAAGTTACAATTTTTTATATTCAGGTTGTTTTTAAAAGTAACCTGAAAATGAATAAATTCCTTCAATCATCCCTTGCTGTTGTAATAGTTAACCAGCCAAATCATAAAAATTGTTCCTTTGCTCACCTTACACTTACTATAGCTTAGTTCAACTTCTCTAGTTTTAGCTGTAGCGACTCATGAACTTTGTCACTCTCTAGGCTGCTGGGGCAATTAAAAAAAGCTGTTGGCAGACTTTATCTGTACTTTTAATAGTTGCTTGTGAAAGAATCTAAACATTAGGACAGGCAGTTATCACAGTAGAATCTGTAAGATTTCAGGTGAACTTTATTATCTGGATAAGCCTGAGGGCCTTCTCAAAGTTAGGGCCTGTGTCAGTGGGCTTCTGTTCACTCTAAATGAGTTTTGCATTGCTGTTCAAGTCTGTGGAGCTGTAAAAACCACTTGAAACATATCTGCAGGGCATATGTACCTGCCAGTGAATTCTAAATTATTTCAGAAGCATCTTATGCTGATATCAAATTGATATTATAGATCACATCCCCAAACTCAGACACTCGAATCCAACATTAAAGTGATATTAAAGGTTCCTTTTAAAAAAATAAAAACAATAACGGACATGTAATGCTTGCCTGCTTTGTGCAGTGGTTTTGCACAGAGCAGCCCTGATTCTTCCCTTCTCAGGTTCCCTGCTGTCGCTCCAGGCCGGATCCTTTTCCTTTCAGCTTGCTGGGGGGCACCCAAACAGGCTCGCTCCTGAGCCACTGCTCTGTGCATCTATTCACACACGGAGCGTGGCTCTTCCCCACTCTCTCTTTCGCTCACTGCCTGACCATACACCCCTGGCCAATAGTTTTGAGAATGACACAAATATTTAAGTTTCACAAAGTCTGCTGCTTCAGTGTTTTTAGATCTTTTTATCAGATGTTCCTATGATATACTGAAGTATAATTACAAGCATTTCATAAGTGTCAAAGGCTTTTATTGACAATTACATTAAGTTTTTATGCAAAGAGCCAATATGTGCAGTGTCGACCCTTCTTTTTCAAGACCTCTGCAATTTGCCCTGACATGCTGTCAACTTCTGGGCCACATCCTGACTGATGGCAGCCCATTCTTACATAATCAGTGCTTGGAGTTTGTCAGAATTTGTGGGGGTTCTTTGTTCACCTGCCTCTTGAGGATTGACCACAAGTTCTCAATGGGATTAAGGTCTTGACAGTTTCTTGGCCATGGATCCAAAATTTTAATGTTTTGTTCTGCAAGCCATTTAGTTATTACTTTTGCCTTATAGCAATGTACTCCATCATGCTGGAAAAGATATTCGTCAAGCTGTTCTTGGATAGTTGGGAGAAGTTGCTCAGAGGATGTTTTCGTACCATTCTTTATTCATGGCGGTGTTCTTAGGCAGAATTGTGAGTGAGCCCACTCTCTTGTCTGAGAAGCACCCCTACACATGAATGGTCTCAGGATGCTTTACTGTTGGCATGACACAGGACTGATGGTAACACTCGCCTTTTCTTCTCTGGACAAGGTTTTTTTCTGGATGTCCCAAACAATCAGGGAAAGTTACTTTCCCTCAGTCCTCAGCAGTCCAATCCCTGCAGTCGCCCTCACACCTGCCTGCGGCCATTCCTGAGCAAGCTCTGCACTGGTGGTGCCCAATCCCGCAGCTGAATCAATTTTAGGAGACCGTCCTGGCGCTTGCTTGACTTTCTTGGGTGCCCTGAAGCCTTCTTCACAACAGTTGAACCACTCTCCTTGAAGTTCTTCATGATCCGACAAAAGGTTGATTTAGGTGCCAACTTAGTAGAAGCAATATCCTTGCCTGTGAATCCTTTTTTGTGCAAAGCAATAATGACTGCACGTGCTTCCTTGCAGGTAAATTAATATTTGTGTCATTCTCAAAACTTTTGGCCAGGGCCATGATGGTAAAAAAGAACCTTGAATCTTTAGATACATTTTAGCTAAATAAAGGTGAAATAACTAAGACTGAAAATTCTTGCATGAGTCCAGTTGTGACTGAATCTCTTTAGGGGTTTAAATTTAGGTTTAGGTGTTGCAGGTTAGATTTAAGATCATAGTCTCCTAATTTTCTGCATTTTAACATTTTTAGATGTGAAAATTCATTTTTGTACGGCCAGTGGATGCAACCAAAAAAATCCAAGTTAACATTTGCTGAAAGCTCCACTGCGACTCGTATGCCAGGGCTGCAAGTTTAGGTGCTGAACTAAAACATTGCTGTAGAGGTATAAATATATGTTTTTATATTACTTTTCAGACATGAAAAATGGCACCATTGGAGATATGGGGGAGCTGGGAATAACTGAGAGCTTCCAGGTGAAAAGACAAGTTTTGCTGAGTGCTGCAGAAGCAGCTGAAGTTATCCTGCGTGTGGACAATATTATTAAAGCTGCACCAAGGTAACAAAACAAATGTGAAAGCAACAGGTTTACCTATTCCTTTTATGAACAAACCTCCTTACTGATGGTTTTTCCAAAAATGCTACAGCAAGCATCATTTTTTCCTAATGGATATACTATAGGAAATGTAACTTACGGCCTTGCTATATAATATATGACTACTTTAGTGTGATTTTTCACTTATGTCCCCTTTAATCATTCAGGAAATTGATGTAAGCGGTAATGCTTCATTTTGGGCATATTCACGACATTCGAGTCAACCTTTCTGTAGTTACTGGGATGCTAGGATGTTAACAAATGCTTTAACCCTGACTAAATTAAAAACTGCACTTGGAGATTGACATAAGGCAGCAATTGACCATCTGCTGAGTTTGTTGCTGCTCGTGAATTTGTCAGGGACTGTGAATAGCAGGGGCCAGGCAGCCTTTATAAACTTAGCTTTGTCCAGGCTCAGACATCCACAGGTAAACGCGAGGTGTGCAACTACATGCGAATAGCAGCAGTCACTGTCAGCCTGTCATACATTTATATAGGCTGTCCCGGCTGCTGCTATTCTCATTATTGCCGCTGGAATCCACAGAATACAGATAACCGACTGTGAAAGAGGACTTATTACTCATCAAAAGCCATTTTAAATAGGGTTTTTTTTTGGTTTTTTTAAATCATAGAATCTTGGTAGCCAATGCAACAGTGTGACCGTAACAAATGGGGAATTATACAAAGTGTTGGCTGAAACCGGCCACACATGGACACTGGATCTCTAATACTCATAAAATATATTTGAAATGTGGTTTCTTGGCTCTCTTTAGCATCCCCAGGTAAAAGGCTTCAAGAAGTTGTTTGACATAAAATTCAATACAGCATTAAGAAAACAAATGACAAAATATGGTATTTGTACAAGTAGTATATCTTTAAGCAGACATTTCATTGGCAGTTTATATACGTATTGTGTCGATATAAATAAACCGTGCATTATAAAACATGTACAGATACCTCAAAACACTTCCCTCAGCAGTAATGTGACCATTACTTTATAGTGCCTAACAACTGTGGCTTAATCTTTTTGGAATTTTGTAGTCTGACTTTCCAGCAAAGACTAATTTATATTTGAAAAGGCTAACCATAACCAATTTAAGCCTAGGTGATTGCTTCTCTTTCTATTCTGATGTTATTGCAGGAGTAGAGAAGAAGTCTAAACATCATTCTTGCATGTGTTCCAGGAACAAACTCATTTATCACATTAAGTAGATATGCCTTACACATGGAACTGCAGAGCTCAGGTTGCGGATAAGAAAATCTGTGGATGTGCGTTTAGTAATATGATTCTAGGAAGTCCCAAAAGAACTTGGTGGGTGACTGTTCAGATTTAAAGCACCTAGAATCTGCAAACAGGCACATTGCATACAGTTCTTACAGGTTATAACTGGATAAAAATAATTTTATATGATAATGGTTTATTTGTTTTTTGTTCAAGTTTAAATTGATACTAAAGGTATCAATGTCCTAACATATCACTGTAACTGTTATGTAACTTACCTATGTTAATGGTTTTGCAGAGAGCAGCTCCAATCCTCCTCTTCTCGGGTGCATTGGTGGTGCTCCTGGCTACTCCCTCCTGCTGGGTGCCCCCAGAACAAGCTGCTTGCTCTGGGGCCATTCATGCCTGTTTGCTTTCAAACCATCTCTGTGTATCTATAAGACAATGGCTCCCACTGCTGTGTCTCAGCCAGTGAGGAGGGAGAGACCCAGGAGAACTGCTGCTCTTGTGCACATTGCTGGATCAGGATCAGATTTGAGTAAATACTGGGGGGCTGAGGGGGGAGCTGCACACTGAAGGTTTTTTTACTTTCATGCATAGAATGCATGAGGATGAAAAACCTTCAGCCTTTAGAAACACTTTAACCAAAAAAATTCTGCTGCTTATGGGTTTAGAGACTTGTCTAGGATTTGTCCGATTTATAATCCTGTCATACTTTTTCAAAAGATGAGCTGTGAATATAGATGTGAAGCCTTGAATGACCTCTTAATACTTCTCCTTGTCCATAATGTTTTTACCATAATTGTGCCTGTTTTTCAGTCTAATAATTGTCATGCTTTTCTCTTATAGGAAACGTGTGCCTGACCATCATCCTTGCTAAACTTCCCAGTGGATGGCTGAGCTTGTATACTAGGCTGCATATAGATGCAGGGCAGAGGCACAGTGAAGGCTAGATACAGTTGACATCTTGGCACTTGAGGGTTACACCCACATTGTGGTTTATTTATTATTCGTAAATGCTTGTTCATTCTTTTTTCCTCCACTGAAATAAATTTTGATAATACAGCTGTACTCTTTCCATACCAAGCACTAAAATGTCATGTGATGTGTTTAATTAATAGGCAAAACACGTGTTAAACTGAGAAGCAGTTGTTTGGTTTTAGTGTGAAGCAGAATCATTTTGTGCATTTTTGGCGAGTCAAATGTGTGATGAGATCCGTGCCGTTGGAATAGTAGGAACAAAATGCATTGATGAGAATGCTGCCATACACTGTAAAAGAACTCCCGAGAATTTAACTGCACCAAAAAGCATGAACGAAGACCTAAATGTCAGAAATGTTTATTACATATATTGATCTGTGTAAAACAAAATATTGAAGCTTTTAAGATAAAGACGGTTAAAATATTGCAGGAAGAAGCAAGCTCTGAGACTCGTTCCTTGTATTAAAATTCCCATCTAATATGAAGTGTATGTATTGACTGGCTCAAAGTTTCAAACAATTGATTGCTCATAGACACAAGACTATATTAACCTGAAAGAGTCATCCATGTATTTACTTTTTGATTGGCAATACTCAGCTAAAGTGCCGAGAAACCAAGAAGTGGCAGTAAATTTAACAACGTCATCACTGCTTGAAGTTAAATCAGATCTTAACTCTGCTTGTTGGTGGGTTGGTGTTTATCATATCGAATAAGTGTTTACAGCATACTTGCACATTATGGCTCACATACCTGCTCCCATCCACCTGCGCCCATTCCAGGCTACAGTCTGTCTCCTGCCACTGTTGCTTTTGGGACCTGCAATGTTTCTATTCAACCATTGGCAAGCCACTGATGATGTAACTCCTGCTTATGCACGCAATACTTCATTTCCGCGTTCCATTTTTGGCACCTTACAGATACAAGGAATGAGTTGGTACTGTATGATGCATGTGCTGTTAAATCTACATAGAAACAGTTTAATAACTTCTAGAGGCTAGGGGGGAAGATTTTCTGACAAAAGAACATCTTTTCTATCTCTTCTGCTGAAAAGAACTAATGCCTAGCATTTTTTTTATACTGTCGGACTTTAGCTCAGTTTAAAACCAGGCACAGATGGGCTTATGGAAGAATTTGAACGTGCACATTATTTATGAAAGATATACTGTTTATTTAAACTTGACAGATTTGCTAAAGGGTACCTGGAATCTGTTGCTGGCTAGCCAGCTGCCTGACATCTCATATTGTGTAACAGCACCTTAGCATCACATAACAGAAGTATGGTGATGTAAACCAAGTAGCTTAACATTCATAAGTACCGTATATACTCGAGTATAAGCAGACCCGAATATAAGCCGAGGTACCTAATTTTACCACAAAAAACTGGGAAAAACTATTGACTCGAGTATAAGCCGAGGGTGGGAACACCAGTGGGAAGAGTTGTGCCTCATCATTGGTGTCAGTGGGAGGAATAGTACCCCATCATTGGTGTCAGTGGGAGGAATAGTGCCTCATCATTGGTATCAGTGGGAGGAATAGTGCCCCATCGTTGGTGTCAGTGGGAGGAATAGTGCCCCATCATTGGTATCAGTGGGAGGAATAGTGCCCCATCATTGGTGTCAGTGGGAGGAATAGTGCCCCATCATTGGTATCAGTGGCGGGAATAGTGCCCCATCATTAGTATCAGTGGGGGGAATAGCAGCCCATTATTGGTGTCAGTGGAATAGCGCCCCATCTTTGGTGTCAGTGGGAGGAATAGTGTCCCAACATTGGTGTCAGTGGGAGGAATAGTGTCCCAACATTGGTGTCAGTGGGAGGAATAGTATCCCATCGTTGGTGTCAGTGGGGGGGTGGAGGAATAGTGCCCCATCGTTGGTGTCAGTGGGGGGGTGGAGGAATAGTGCCCCATCGTTGGTGTCAGTGGGGGGGGGGGGGGAATAGTATCCCATGATTGGTGTCAGTGGGGGGTGGAATAGTGCTCCATGATTGGTGTCAGTGGGGGGGAGGGAGGAATAGTGCCCCATCGTTGGTGTCAGTGGGAGGAATAATGCCCCATCATTGGTATCAGTGACACCAATGATGGGGCACTATTCCTCCCACTGACACTTGCTGACCCCTGTTCCAGTATGGTGCTGCTGCAGCCAGCATATGTGGTTGCAGCAGCACCTAAGCACGACACACTTACCTGCATCTCCTTCACTCGATTTTCGCGGGGCCACTCAGCTCCGCCTCCTCGCCGGTGATTGGCCGCCTGTGTGCCTTTCCTGAGCTACAGTTCTGGCGGCCAATCACCGGTGAGAATGCGGAGCCGAGCAGCCGCGCGAACATCCAGTGGACGAACCGAATGAAGGAGCAGCCGCGCTTCCTGGACCGGATCGTCGTGGGACCGGAGCCAGGTAAGAGACAGCAGCCCCCTGCCCACCCCTGTACTTAGTTTCCCTTCTGTTGGAAGGGGGGGGGGGGGAGCCATCTGCAGACGTTGACTCGAGTATAAGCCGAGGGGGCCGTTTTTCAGCACAAAAAATGTGCTGAAAAACTCGGCTTATGCTCGAGTATATACGGTATATGTGCAACTTGTTTCACTGATTAGAACAGAACACAAGTCTTGACGTGTTCAAACCACAGTGCACATTAAACTGCACAAACACATGTGCATTGATGGGTTTTTTTTTTGTTTTTTTTTTTCCAGTGTGGCCATATCGGGGAAAAATACCAACATGATCTATTTTTATGCAGTGCAACACACCTGTATGATGTGGAAAAGGAAAATAATTGATCAGCACAGCTTAATGGAAATGGTGTAAACAAGCTTTTAAAGTGTGCCTATTCCCAGACTGTGGACAGGAAGCTATTTTCATGTTCTTAAAGTAAAACTGAATTTGCTCAATCAACATTAAACCAGTTAGATAGTTGATGCTACTAACCTTTGTAAATACTGCTCAAAAAAAAGTTAAAGGAACACTTTGAAACACATCAGATCTCAATGGGGAAAAATTGCTGCATATCTATACTGATATGGACTGGGTAATGTGTTAGGAACGTACGACTGCCCCATCGTTTGTAAGTTGGTCATTTTCATTTCCATCAGAGGACTGAATTCAAAGACTACCTGAAAATCAAAGTGAAAAAATGATTCCGTAGGCTAGTCCATTTGCCATAATTTCATTGCAACTCAAAATGGTACGCAGTAGTTTGTATGGCCCCCATGTGCTTGTCTGCATGCCTGACAAAGTCGGGGTATGCGCCTAATGAGATGATAGATGTTGTCCTGGGGTATTTCCTTCCAGATCTGGACCAGGGCATCACTGAGCTCCTGGACAGTCTGAGGTGCTACTTGGTGGAGTCAGATGGACCGAAACATTATATCCCAGAGGTGTTTTATTGGATTTAGGTCAGGCGAGTGTGGGGCCATTCAATGGTATCAATTCCTTCATCCTCCAGGAACCTTCATACTTGTGCCACATGAGGCTGGTCATTGTCCTGCACCAGGAGGAACCCAAGGATTTCATCCTGATACCTAATGGCAGTCAGGTGCCATTGTCTAGCCTGTAGAAGTCTGTTCTTCCCTCCATGGATATGTCTCCCCTGATCATCACTGACCCATCACCAAAACGGTCATGCTGAACAATATTACAGGCAGCATTCTCCACAGCTTTTCCAGACCCTTTCATGTCTGTCGCGTGCTCAGAACCTGCTCTCTTCTGTGAAAAGCACAGGGTGCCAGTGGTGGACCTGTCAAATCTGGTGTTCAATGGCAAATGCCAATTGAGCTGTATGGTGCTGGGCAGTGAGCACAGGCTCCACTAGAGAACGTCGGGCCCTCGGACCACCCTCATGATGTCTGTTTTTTTTTTTTTTTAATTATTTATGAAACTATCTGACAAACTAGAATCAAAAGAAAGGTTCACCAGAGTATATAAAAAACAGTACAAGTAATTAAGTCATACAGTGTAATTGAACATAAACATGTTACAAAGAGTAAGTGGGTTTCTGTAGAACAATAACACTTCAGAGATGAATGGAACAATACAGAAACCATATCAACTTATCATCTAGAAATCATGTAAGCTATGTCTCAGCAGTATGGTAGGTAGGCCGATCAACAATTAGCATGAACTTCTCAGGTAATGCAGATAAGTAGAGGGTGACTTAGATGGTAAGGTAAATCGCCAAGACGATGGCCCAGCCAGTAACAGAAAAAAGAATGAAGACTAAGAGGAAACAAAATATTGGAGAGGAGAGCCCTAAGAAAGGGACTGCCCGACCAACATCAGACGTAACTAGAGAAGGAAGAAGTAGGCCCATATGAAAAAAAAAGTTGACAAAAGAGCAAGTCAGAAGATACTAGGGGGCGGAAAATAACCTCTTCCATACTGGGCACTTTTACCCCCTTCCTGCCCAGGCCAATTTTCAGGTTTCAGCACTCTCACACTTTGAATGACAATTGCGCGGTCATACAATGTTGTACCCAAACTAAAATTTTATCATTTTCTTCACAAATAGAGCTTTCTTTTGGTGGTATTTAATCACCACTGGGGTTTTTATTCTTTGCTAAATTAACAAAAAAAAGCCACGTTTTTCTTTGTTTCTGTTATAAAAATTTGCAAATAATTATTCTTCATAAATTTAGGCGAAGATGTATTCTGCTACATTTCTTTGGTGAAAATAACCCAAATTAGGATGTATTTTTTTAGTTTGTAGGAGAGCTTACAAACTATGGGATATATCTGAATATTGATCAATCCTGAAGTACTGACAGCCAATCTAATTTCTTGAGGTCCAAGAATGTCAGAACTAGAGATGAGCGAATCGAAGTAGCCGAAGTGGAATCGAGTCGAATATCGAAAAATTTCGATTCGCGCCCGAATCCGAAAAATAGCCTACTTCGGACGCGCGAATCGA